TCACTTCCCTAAGCTCACTTCCCTGAGCTCACTTCTCTGAGCTCACTTCACTAAGCTCACTTCCCTGAGCTATCTTCCTTGAGCTTGCTTTCCAGTGCTCACTTCTCTGAGCTCAATTCCAAGAGCTCACTTCCCTGAGCTCACATCCGTGAACTCAATTCCCTGAGCTCACTTCGCTGAGGTGAGCTCACTTCCCTGAGCTCACTTCTCTGAGCTCACTTCCCTGAGGTGAGCTCATTTCCCAGAGCTCACTTTCCTGAGCTCACTTTCTTGTGCTCACTTCCCTGAGGTGAGCTCACTTCTCTGAGCTCACTTCCCTAAGCTCACTTCCCTGAGGTGAGCTCACACCCCTCAGATCACTTCTCTAAGGTGAGCTCACCTCCCTGAGCTCACTTCAGTGCGCTTACTCCTCTAAGCTCACTTGCCTGAGGTGAGCTCAGTTCCCTGAGCTCAGGGATAAGTGCTCAAAGAAGTGAGCTCAGGGAACTGAGCTCAAGGAAGTGAGCTCTCCTCAGGGAAGTGAGCTCAAGAAAGTGAGCTTAAGGAAGTGAGCTCCGGAAAATGAGCTCACCTCAGGGAAGTGAGCTCAGCGAAGTGAGCTCCGGGAAGTGAGTTCAGAGATGTGAGCTCAGGGAAGTGAGCTCAGGGAAGTGAGCTCACCTCTGAGAAGTGAGCTCAGAGAAGTGAGCTCAGGGAAGTGAGCTCACCTCAGGTAACTGAGCTGAGGGGAGTGAGCTAAGGAAAATGAGCTCACCTCACAGAAGTGAGCTAAGGGAAATGAGCATAGAGCAGTGAGCTCAGGAAAGTGAGCTCAGGGAAGTGAGCTCACCTCATGGTAGTGAGCTCAGAGAAGTGAGCTCAGGGAAGTGAGCTCAGGGATGTGTGCTCACCATAGTGAAGTGAGCTCAGGGAAGTGAGCTCACCTCAGGGAAGTGAGCTCAGGGAAGTGAGCTCAGGGAAATGAGCTCACCTCACGGAAGTGAGGTCAGAGAAGTGAGCTCAATAAATTATGCTGAGGGAAGTGACCTCATGGAAATAAGCTCACCTTAGGGAAGTGAGCTCAAGGAAGTGAGCTCAGAGAAGTGACCTCAGGAAAGTGAGCTCAGGGAAGTGAGCTCACCTCAGGGAGGAAAGCTCAGAGAAGTGAGCTCAGAGAAGTAAGCTCAGGGAAGTGAGCTCAGGGAAATGAGCTCACCTCCGGGTAGTGAGCACAGGGAAGTGAGCTCAGAGAAGTGAACTCACCTCGGGGAAGTGAGTTCATGGAAGTGAGCTCAGAGAAATGAGCTCAGGGAAGTGAGCTCAGGGAAGTGAGCTCACCTCAGGGACGTGAGCTAACGGAAGTGAGCTCAGGGAAGTTTCCTAACCTCAGTCAAGTGAGCTCAGTGAAGTGAGCTAAGGGATGTGACCTCAGGGAAGTGAGCTCAGGGAAGTGAGCTCTGTGAAGTAAGCTCAGCGAAATGAGCTCACCTCAGGGATCTGAGCTCAGGGAAGTAGGCTTAGAGATATGAGCTCAAGGAAGTGAGCTCACCTCTAGGAACTGACTCAACAAATTGAGTTCAGGGAAGTGAGCGCAGGGATATGGGCGCACCTCAGGAAAGTGAGCTCTGGGAAGTGAGCTCAGAGAAGTGAGCTCAGGAAATTGAGCTCACCTCAGGAAATTGAGCTCACCTCAGAAAGTGAGGTCAGGGAAGTTAGCTCAGGGAAGTGAGCTGACCTCAGGGAAGTGAGCTCAGAGAAGTGAGCTCAGGGAATTGACGTCAGGGAAGTGAGCTCACCTCAGGAAAGTGAGCTCAGAGAAGTGAGCTCATGAAAGTGAGCTCAGGAAAGTGAGCTCAGGGAAGAGAGCTCAGGGAATTGAGCTCACCTCAGGGTAGTGAGCTCAGGGAGGTGAGCTCAGGGATGTGAGCTCACCTCAGCGAAGTGAGCTCGGGGAAGTGAGCTCAAAGAAGTGAGCTCAGGGAAGTGAGCTCAAGGAAGTGAGCTCAGTGATGTGAGCTCACCTCAGGTATGTGAGCTCTGTGAAGTGAGGTCAGGGAAGTGAGCTCAGAGAAGTAAGCTCAGAGAAGTAAGCTCAGGGAAGTGAGCTCAGGGAAGTGAGCTCACCTTAGGGAATGGAGCTCAGAGAAGTGAGCTCAGGGAAGTGAGCTCAGAAAAGTGATCTCAGGGAAGTGAGCTCACCTCAGGGAAGTGAGCTTAGGGAAGTGAGCTTAGAGAATTGAGCTCAGGGAATTAAGCTTAGGGAGGTGAGCTCAGAGAAGTGAAATCAAGAAAGTGAGCTCAGGGAAGTCAAATATACACATGTAATAGTAACATATACACATGTTTGACAAGTGTTAACACACCGATGATGAAGTTTTATCGAAAACAAAACAGATCATCTGATGCAGGTGCTTGGGTGACAGCTCTGCCCTCACGACCTGATCTCCGCATCTCCAGCGATGACTGGGTGATTGCTGCAAATCTTCGTTTGGGGCGGGACATCCTGCATCTGCTGTAGGCAAAGAAATGCTCCTGCGGGGCAAAGTTCTCGGAAGTGTACGCACCTGGCCACGCTCTTCGTTGCGCGACCGGATACGTCCCGTCCATTGCGCATGATGCGATCGTCAACTGCACGGCCCTTCTTTGCCAGGAGTCGGGCATGCGCACAACCGTGGAGGACAAGGCCGTTTTCGGCGCGGGAACGATACCAGATGTGGTTAGTTACCATGCTGAGAGCGGCAAGACCTGGATCATGGACGTGGTCCTGGCGGATCCCCACGACAACAACGCCAACTGTCCGGAGACGAAGCCGGGGGCTGCCCTGCTGGAAGCGTGTCGACGGAAGAGGGCCACCTACGCTAAGGCGGTGGCTGAGGGAGGGACGACGGTGGCGGCGACTACCAAGTGTCAAATGTAACTTAGGTCGTTACTGTAGACTATACTGGATTGTGCCCTAGAGGGTATAACACCCTAGTCTATATACCCTTGTACTCACACATTCTAGTTCAATCATTCTTTCTGATATGGTAACAAAATAGGTTAGGATCCCCCCTCTAGCCTGCCCACGCTTCCGCCCCCTAGGCCCTAGCCACCGTCGTGCCCCGCTCCTAGCCGGCCCTCCTGACCGTCGCGCTCGTCCCTAGCCGGCCCCCTGGCCGTCGCGTCCACCCCTAGCCGGCCCCCTGGCCGTCGCGTCCGCCCCTAGCTGGCCCCCTGGCCATCGCGTCCGCCCCTAGCCGGCCCCCTGGCCGTCGCGTCCGCCCCTAGCCGGCCCCTTGGCCGTCGCGTCCGCCCCTAGCCGGCCCCCTGGCCGTCGCGTCCGCCCCTAGCCGGCCACCTGGTCTTCACGTCCGTCCCTAGCCGACCCCCTGGCCGCCGCGTGCGTCCCTCGCCGCCCCCCTGGCTGTCGCGTCCGCCCCTAGCCGGCCCCCTGGCCGTCGCGTCCGCCCCTAGCCGCCCCCCTGGCCGTCGCATCCGTCCCTAGCCGGCCCCCTGGCCGTCGCGTCCGCCCCTAGCCGGCCCCCTCACCGTCGCGCCCATCCCTAGCCGGCCCCCTGGCCGTCGCGCCCGTCCCTAGCCGGCCCCCTGGCCGTCGCGTCCGCCCCTAGCCGGCCCCCCTGGCCCTCGCGCTCGTCCCTAGCCGGCCCCCTGGCCCTCGCGCTCGTCCCTAGCCGGCCCCCTGGCCGTCGCGCTCGTCCCTAGCCGGCCCCTTGGCCGTTGCGTCCGCCCCTAGCCGGCCCCCTGGCCGTCGCGTCCGCCCCTAGCCGGCCCCCTGGCCGTCGCGCCCATCCCTAGCCGGTCCCCCTGGCCGTCGCGTAAGCCCCTAGCCGGCCCCTTGGCCGTCGCGCCCGTCCCTAGCCAGCCCCCTGGCCGTTACGCTCGTCCCTAGCCGCCCCCCCCCCCCCCCCCCCCGTGGCCGTCGCGCCCGCATCCTGCCGTCCCACGGCCGCCCCTAGCCGTCTCACGGCCGCCCCCTCCCCGTCGCGGCCGCCCCTAGCTGCTGTCTCTGCCGTCTCCAGCCGCCTCACGGTCACTCCAGCCATCGCGGCCGCCCCTAGCCGCCGTCGCGGCTGTTCCTGGCCGCCATCGCGGCCATGTCTCCTCGCCGTCATGGCTGGCCCTACTCGCCGTCGCGCCAGCTCCTCGCCGGCCCCCGTTGCCGCCGTTTGCTGGCCCCTCGCGTCTGCCGTCCGCTGGCCGGCTACTGCATTCGCGTCGTCGCCAGCCCGCCGCCGCCTCGGGTTTGTTATAATCACAATAGGCTCAGATGTGCCTAAAATGAGAGAAAATGTGCACAGTCAGAATTCCGTCAGCCAGCTTCAAATATTGATGCCGATCTGATGTGTGCCTCAAACGGTGATCTGTAAACTGGATCTGGAGCGCGTTGTTGTCGCCTATCAGCAGCAAGTTGAATCATAAAATTCCATGAAGATTTGACGACGCTATGGTGGTTTGACTGGCAGGAGGTACAGCAGCCACTATAGTCTTAGGAGTACAAAAACTTAGGAAGAAGAATTCGAGAGGGAGATGGTTCCCAGCCTCTACATACCCCAAGAGCCGAGGTCCAGGTTGGTGGTACACCACCACAGAGTCCCCAACCACAAAGAGTCTCAAAACAAACCCTCCAAGAGGCTACACCAAGTGAAATGCAACACTACACGAAGTAGCGTTACTATTTTCACTATTTAATATTTATCCGCGTCCCTTGGGCTTGAAATCTTGAGCTCTTGGTCTTGGTTCTTCAAGATAAATTCTTCTTGAGTTGATGGGGGCTTGCTGCACACACCTGCGACGCGATGGACACTTCACACTTGACAAAATAGAAAAACACATGCGACACGCAAACGACGACTTGACATGCGAGTTGTAAAAACTCACTAATGTCTTGACCGACACACACCACATTGTGAGACACCATTCAAACACACACACAAGCACTAGATAGCAATGACATAGACTCACAAGTCATTCCATGCCATGCATGCACACACACAAACACGGACGACAAGCCGAGTGCAAGCCATAGGGTTGCACCAACAAACTCCCGCTCGGATTGTTGGCCTTAGAATCTGCTCGCCTTAGTTCAGAGCCATCCCAGCAAGCTTGCAACACTTCCAATGCTGCTGCTCAACCAGCCTCTTGGTCATCATATCAGCAGGCTGCGCCGTCGTCTTCACGTAGTGCAACTCCGCTTCACCCGCGGTTACCATGCTCCTCACTCAATGCCACTTCACCTTCATGTGCTTGGTAAGGCCATGAAGAACGGGGTTCTTAGCCAATGCAATAGCACCCTGGCTATCACAGTAGAGGGGGGTAGGTCCTTGCTGCTCCTCCCCCAATTCAGCTAGCAAACGCCGCTGCCACACAACCTCTCTTATGGCACGGAAGAGTGCCATGTACTCGGACTCCACCGAGCTCAATGCTTGGTCCACTTGTTTCTTGCTCTCCCAAGCTGTTGGTCCTCCACCAACACAGCAGATGAAGCCTCCCACACTTGTCATGTCCTCTGGTTCTGATGCCCAAGATGCATCAGAGAAGGCGGTGAGAAAGAGCCTCCCGGGTTCGACTCCATCCGCACCCTTTTGACGCCTTTGTGCCGCCGCGGAGTATTGCAGTCCAACAGTTGCTGTTTGACCAAGGTACTTAGCCACCCTCTCTCCAGCTGCTACCTGCTCTCCATTAGGGCATTGGACAACCCTAGCTAGCTGCCCGGTAGCAAAGGCTGCATCCGGCCTTGTGTGAACGGCCGCATACATGAGGCTGCCCACCAAGGAATGAAAACGGCGCCTCTCCTCTTCACCAACACTTTCCTCCGCTGGTCCTTTCACACACTTGAACCCTGAGGGTAGAGGAGTAGCCACATGACCTTCACTCTTCCCAAAGTTTGCAGCCAAGGCCTCCAAGTACTTCTTTTGATGCACTCGCATCCACCGCTTCTCCACATCTCGCTCAATGTGAAGCCCGAGGTAGTAGTTGACGTCACCAAGGGTCTTGCACTTGAACTTGTCTTGAAGCTTCAGCATCACCTCCTTCACAAGGTCAGAGGAGGGTGAGAATATGAGGATGTCATCCACATAAACCACCATGAAGCTCCTCTGCTCCCCCTCGCCAAGCATGAACAATGATTGATCGGCCGTTGAGGGAGTGAAACCGATCGCCTCCAAGACTTCCCGCAGCTTGATGTACCATTGCCTAGGGGCTTGCTTGAGGCCATAGAGTGCTTTCTTCAGCTTCCACACTCTGCCACTCCCATCATTGTACCCCTCTGGCTGCTCCATGTAGGTCTCTTCCTAGAAAACGCCGTTGAGGAAGGCCGTTACAATGTCCATTTGCTTCACCACCCATCCTTTGATGGCCGCCGCGGCGAAGAGGGTTCGAAGGGTTGTACCCTTCACCACAGGAGCATATACTTCATTGTATTCCTTCTTCTCCTGCTGCTGGTACCCCTTGGCTACAAGTCTGCTCTTGTAGTGCTCAATGTTGCCGTCGGCGTCGGTCTTGCGCTTGAAGAGCCACTTGGAAGAGATCGCCTTACGCCCCGGAGGTAGGTTCACCAAGTCAAACGTGTCGTTCTCGATGATGCTCCCCATCTCTTCATCTGAGGCCTTCTTCCACTCCTTCCCATTGGGGCCCTCCCAAGCCTCCTTGGGATTTGTAGGCTCCCCCGGTATCTCCACCGGAGAGAAGAAGGCAAAAGCGCACTCCTCGCTTTCATCTTCCGCTTCATCGCCTAGCATGAGAGCCGAACCGGTCAAGGTTGAGTTGGCTGCTCCTCCAAGCCGTTCATAGCTCAACCTATTGGGGGGCTGAGTCTTCCTTCTCCCCCTTCCTTCCTCCTCTACTGCAGGGACTTGGATGCTCTCATGGCGTTGCTGCAAATCTGCTCGGTTCCCGCGAGCACTTGTAGCACGAGGCGGAAGTGACGGTGTACGCTCATCACCTTGCTGCACCTCCTCCTCCTCTTCTCCCCCATTCATTTGAGGAGATTGCTTTGTGATAGTGCTGCTGCTACTCAGCTCCAAGGGCAGCTCCACATGCTCCAAGCCGGTACTCTTCACCTCTCCAAGCCGCACACCAATCTTCGCTTGGTTCTCCGCCTTCCACTCCTTGTACGGTAAGTTCTCCATGAACTTGCAATCTCTGCTCACCAGGAACTTCTTGGTAAATGGGTCCCAAAGAAGCCATCTCTTGCTGTTTTGAGCCATGCCCAAGTGCACGGCCCATGTTGCCTTGGCATCAAGCTTGTTGTGCCGAAGTTTCTTAGGCACAAGTGCCATGCACATGCACCCGAACACCCGAAGCATATCCACCTTCGGCTTCCTTCCAATCCACTCCACATAGGGCACCCATTTGTCTTCTCCCACGTGACTCAAGGCTCTGTTCTTGGCCACACAAGCATGCCGCACCGCATCCGGCCAAAAGTAATTGGGTAGACCGGCTTCAATGAGAAGTCCCCGAGCCGTCTCCGTGAGTGTCCGATTCGCACGCTCGGCAATGCCGTTCATTGCAGGAGAGTAGGGCATGGTAAGAGAGTGCCTTATGCCCTGCTTCTTCAGCCAAGTTGAGAAGTCCTTGCTCAGGAACTCTCCCCCACGGTCAGTGCGAATCGCCTTCACAAGCCGGTCTTGTTGCCGCTCCACCATCGGCAACCAATCGGTCTTCACTGTTTCAGCCACGTCACTCTTCTTGGGCAGCACATATACCCAAGTCATGCGAGTGTAGACGTCCACAATGGTGAGGAAGTACTCAGCTCCAGCAGCTCCAAGCTTCAAGGGGCCCACCACATCCATCACCACCTCATCAAGTGGTGCCTTCGCCGTTGTCTCCGAGCTATGGAACGGGTAGCGGGTGAACTTGGCTTGCATGCATGTTGGACAGCCAAGCACCTCATTGGGCTCCCCCTTGACACGTATCCCACTGACCATGTCTTGCTTGACTATCTGCTGCAAAATGGGCAATGCCACATGCCCCATTCGCCGATGCAAGGTCAGCCAATCACACTCTCCCGTAGCGGAGGTCGGGTTGGAGAAAGCGGCACTCGCAATTGTGCCCCACAAGCTCTCTCCTTTCTCCTTCGCCGATGCTGCTTTGCTGATCTTATGATTCTCCTCCTCATTTCCACCACCTTTGGCTGCTGCACCACTCTCCTTGGATTCACATGCCTTGCTGGTCTCTCCAAGATTGCACTCGTTCGAGTCACTCTTGGTGTCACTTTGCTTTCCGTGATCACCGCCACCAACCGCTTCACTCTTGGTGCTGATGCTTGCTGCCACTTGCCTCTCCTTAGGCATGTGGACCACTGGGATTTGCCACATCTCATTTTAGATGTCCCTGTCCTCATGAAGGTCCCAAAGCTTCCGCTCACCAAGCCGCGCGGTATAAGTTTTGGATCCCTTGGAAGATGTGTCCATGCCGGCCTTTTGCAAACGCCGCACAGAAATCAGGTTGGCTGCAAGGTTGGGCACCCAAAGCACGTTCTTGAGGCCCACCATCTTCCCATCAGCACCCTTGAACATGGCCTTGCCCATGCCTTTCACCTCTGCTCGCTGCCCCAAAGCCGATGTGACATGCTTGACCGGCGACGGTTCGAGTTCGGTGAGCAAGTCCGCACGAGGTGTCATGCTATAGGTGGCGCCGCTATCGATCACCCAAAAGTCCAGAGAGTGAAGGGTGACCTTTCCCACAGTAGCTGGCTCCTCAAAGCCTTCCACATCTCCTGCTGCAGCTGCCGCTTGCGTGGAGACAAAGAAGAATTGGCCCGGGTATCGATCTTCACTCGGGCCCGTCTCGTAGTCTCCACCTTTCATGCATGCCGCTTCGCTTCCACGACCACCACGGCCTCCACGACCTCTGCCTCTTCCTCCCCTTGCTCCTCTGCCCTCTTGGCCTTGAGAAGGGGTCCATCCATCAGGCAATCTGTAGCAATCTCTCCACATGTGGCCGGTCTTGTGGCAAAAGTGGCATTCGCCATCAAATCGACCGCGCCCACGCCCGTAGCCATTGTTGTTGTTGTTGCTGCCATATCCTCCATTACCACGGCCTCCATTGAAGTTACTGCTGCCAAATCTTCCTCCTCGCCCTCTGCCCCTTCCACGGCCGTGCCCACGGCCCATGCTTGCAACTCCGGCACCATCGGTACCCGTCAATTCACGACGACGGAAATCTTCTTGTAAGATTTCCCGCTTCACATCTTCGAGTGAGAGACGGGGCAGATCTCGATTTAGGTTGATGATGAGCGAGGACCATGAGTCCGGAAGCAAGGCCAGCAGCTTGGTCTTCTTTTGAAGGTCACTGTAGTTCAGGTCAGCTCCTTCAAGCCGTCTCAACAAGTCGAAAAATTTCTGCACTCCGTCCTCCACCGGTTCGCCTTCGTCAATTCGAAGGGCCGCCATTTGCCGCTCCAAAACCACAGCCACCGCCGCTGTTGCAGGAGCGTGTACACCCTTGAGAGCAGCCCATGCCTTTGGTCCCTTTGCTGGTTCACGCTGAAAAGGATTGATGTGACGGATTTGGCTGCTCCCCAACGCTTGCCCAAGTAGAAGATAGCCTTGTGCGCTCTTCCGCACCCACGGGCTCTTCTCCGGGTCGTTCTCGGGGCGCTTCTCCGTTCCTTCCATCACCTCCAGCAGATCATAGTGGTCAAAGATGTTCTCCATCTTGAAGGACCACTCAGCAAAGTTGTCACCGTTGAACTTGTCAAGGCCAAACACTCTAGGCTCATCCCTAGAGGGGCCAAGGCTAGGTTGCACGGGAGCCATGGGTGGATCTTGGTGTTGACCTTGTGCTTGGGCGTCTTCTCTGCCTCCAGCACCTCTGCCACCCCCTTCCTCAGGTCTAGGCATGGTCGAGACAGCTCCAAGGGGCTCTGATACCACTTGTTATAATCACAATAGGCTCAGATGTGCCTAAAATGAGAGAAAATGTGCACAGTCAGAATTCCGTCAGCCAGCTTCAAATATTGATGCCGATCTGATGTGTGCCTCAAACGGTGATCTGTAAATTGGATCTGGAGCGCGTTGTTGTCGCCTATCAGCAGCAAGTTGAATCATAAAATTCCATGAAGATTTGACGACGCTATGGCAGTTTGACTGGCAGGAGGTACAGCAGCCACTATAGTCTTAGGAGTACAAAAACTTAGGAAGAAGAATTCGAGAGGGAGATGGTTCCCAGCCTCTACATACCCCAAGAGCCGAGGTCCAGGTTGGTGGTACACCACCACAGAGTCCCCAACCACGAAGAGTCTCAAAACAAACCCTCCAAGGGGCTACACCAAGTGAAATGTAACACTACACGAAGTAGCGTTACTATTTTCACTATTTAATATTTATCCGCGTCCCTTGGGCTTGAAATCTTGAGCTCTTGGTCTTGGTTCTTCAAGATAAATTCTTCTTGAGTTGATGGGGGCTTGCTGCACACACCTGTGACGCGATGGACACTTCACACTTGACAAAATAGAAAAACACATGCGACACGCAAACGACGACTTGACATGCGAGTTGTAAAAACTCACTAATGTCTTGACCGACACACACCACATTGTGAGACACCATTCAAACACACACACAAGCACTAGATAGCAATGACATAGACTCACAAGTCATTCCATGCCATGCATGCACACACACAAACACGGACGACAAGCCGAGTGCAAGCCATAGGGTTGCACCAACAGGGTTCGGACCGTTCCTCCCGATCAGCACTGCCCTGCGAACCCCCCCCCGGTACCGTACTAGACCGCCTTGCACCGCACTGCACCGCACGGTACCGCACTGCACTGCACTGTACTGCACTGCACCGTACTGTACCGCACTGCACCGCACTGGACCGCACTGCAATGCACCGCACCGCACTGCACCACACTGTACTACTCTCCACTGCCCTCTATTGTCACTGATGGCGGAGGTGCTTCGCTTTGACGCTGAGGGCCAGCCGATTGAGTTTGATGCGTGGCTTGCTGACCTCCGTCGCCACCTCACTGGTCAGCGGCAGGATGGCCACTCTCTATCTGACCATCTTGACGGTACTCTCCCCTGCCCAGACCCCCACGCTGCACTGTCTACTGATCCCTCGTCCACTGAGCGTGAGTCCGCTGCGGCCGCTTCCCTTGCTCGCTCTGTCTGGCTGTCCCGTGACGCTGTCGCACAGCTTGCCATTAGCAATGCCCTCCCCCTGTCCGAGCGACCTCGCTTCAGGTCTATCACCACTGCCGAGGCTTTCCTAGATGCTGTTGTCCAGCGCTATTCCACCCCGCCTGCTGCCTCGGTTGGCCGTCTGATCCTCCCCATGCTCTTCCTTGACCTTGCATCGTTCCCCACTGTCGCCGACCTGGCCGCTCACCTGCGCACTATAGACGAGACCTGGCGTGCTGCCTGCACTCACACAGCTTCTAGCCCACCAGCCGCCCCTCACCTCTACTCTCTACCTGCTAGCCACACGCCTCCCTGACCGTCTTGCCACTGCCCGTGACCACTTCCTTAGCGTCCACCCCGCAGACCTCACCCTCACTGACTTTGTTGACACCCTGTCCGCTATAGAGGCCCGCCACCGCTCTATCGCTCAGACCAGCGATACTGTGCCGGTCCCTATCTTTTAGGGTTGCGCCCCCGCTCAGTGCACCTTCTCTGACGGTTGTGTTGCCGTGGCTGAGACTGCCGCTGCAGCACAGGTCCGTCCGGGGAAGGGTCACCGCCCCAAGGCTGGGCGTGGCGGCGGGGGTGGGGGTGCAGGTGTAGGTGGTGCTGGAGCTGGGTCTCCTGGTGGTGGTGCAGACGAGGGGACCCTGCCAGGTGTAGCTGAGCAGCCGTCTCAGCAGCCGCCGGCGTTGCAGCCGGACTCGTGTCAGCCGCAGCAGCCGCAGCAGCCACAGCAGTCGCAGCAGTCGCAGTAGCCGCAGCAGAGACGGGCGAGTGGTCTCTCGCCCGGGTGGCCTGGCACTGGTGGTAGCGCTGGACGTGGTGGTGGTGCGCGTGGTGGGCTGCTTGGTGGTGGTTCGGGTGACGCGCGCTCTCAGTACCTGCTCCAGACCGGTCCTCGCAGTGGCTTCGTTTGCGGTAAGATCGGTCACACCTCCGTCCGCTGTTTCCGTCGCCTGGACAACCTGTTTCGTCAGCGTTTTGGCCCATCGCCAGAGCTCCCAGACTGGCATAGTTTGCTTCGTCGTAGGGTTCAGATTTTTGATCTCGATATGGATGAGATTGTTGCTGCTCTGCATGTGATGTATGCTGATGACTCTAGTGTGCTTCCATCTTATTACCCCTTGTTGCCTAGTGAAGGTGTGCCTTGCTTAGACTCCCCTGCTACGTCAAGCGTAGGATCCCCTGCTTTGTTTAGCCTTGGTGCTTCCGTCGCTGCTTCGCCTCCGGCCGCCACTGACGCGCTCTCCTTCACCCTCGATTCTGGCGCTTCCCGGTGCTTCTTTCACGACTCCACCACGTTGACACCGCTTCCTGTCCCTGCCACAGTCTCTCTTGCTGACCCCTCCTCCGGCCCAGTAGTCGCCCGCAGTTCCACCACCCTCCCCTGCCCGGCGGTTCCTTCGGGCTCGCTCACAGGACTGCACATCCCCTCGTTCTCCTGGAACCTAGTTGGTGTCGGCTGCCTTCAGGACCTTGGCGTCACCACTACGTTCCCTGGACACGAGCGGTACGCTGTCTGTACCGAGGCCGCCATTGGTGCCCCCCTGTCCACGTTCCCACGGGACCCGGTGTCTGGTCTTTTCACACTGGACACCGTGATCCCCCCAGCTGGGACCCCCCCTCAGGTGACTGCGTCTCCCCCGGTTGCAGCTGCCTGCTCCTGTCGGTCTCTCACTCACCTGACTCTTCTCTGGCACCACCGCCTAGGTCACCCTGCGCTCCCGCGCCTGCGTCACATGTCACAGCACGGTCTCGTCCTAGGCCTCCCCGGGTCGTTCCCCGAGTTTCCCTCCTCCCCAGACCCACCTTGCACGCCCTATGTCGAGGGCCGGCTCCGCCGTGCCCCTCACTCCTCCTCGTTTCCCCCTATTGCAGCACCGCTACAGACTCTGCACATGGACGTCTGGGGCCCCGCCCCCGTCCATGGGTCGCGTCGAGAGCGCTACTTCCTAGTGCTTGTCGATGACTATACGCGCTACACCACTGTGTTCCCCCTGTAGCGGAAGGCTGACGTGCCTGCCGTTCTTATCCCGTGGCTTGTCTCTGCGCGTGTCCACCGCTGTCTCCCTGTCTTGCGTCTCCACTCCGATCGTGGTGGCGAGTTTGCCTCTGGTGTCCTTGGTCGTTTCTGTTGTGCGGAGGTAATCACCCAGACGTTCACCTTGCCGGACTCCCCGCAGCAGAATGGGGTCGCTGAGCGACGCATCGGTTTGGTCATGGAGGTGGCTCACGCCTCTATGATCCATGCTGGGGCACCCCATTTTCTCTGGCCGTTCTCCGTTCGCTACACCGCTAACCAGCTTAACCTGTGGCCGCACCCCCAGCAGCCTCAGGTTTCGCCGACCCTCCTCTGGTCTGGGTCACCTGGTGACGCGTCTGCGTTCCACATCTGGGGCTGCCTTGCTCAGGTTCGTGCCTCTGGCACGGACAAGCTCACTGCTCGCACCCTTCCCTGTGTCTTCCTCGGCTTTGAGTTAGATATGAATCAGATAGGTGCTGCTTTGCATGCTTTGTATGCTGACGCTTCTAATGTTGCTGGATCTTATTACCCTGTGTACTCTAGTTTAGGTGTCTCACCCTTGTGTAGCTTAGCCTCCCCTGCTGTGTCAGGCGTAGGACTGCCTAGTTTGCCTAGCCTAGGCTCTGCACCGGCTCCATTCCTAGCCTCCGCCACTGCCTCGCTGTCCTTCACTCTCGCCTCCGGTGACGTCACCTTTGACGAGTCCGTCTCCTTCTACCGTCGCTTCCCTCACCGAGGTCTCCCGGTTTCCCCCCCCCCTGTTCCTTGCCCCCTCTCCTCCGGTAGCCCCTGCTCCCCTCCCGCCTCGTCCTGCCCCGTCTGGTGTCTCCCATGTCACTCCCCTCCCGTCAGTTGTCCCTGTTGAGGAGTCTGCTGACTCTGGTGGTCCCCCCGCCCCGCCTTTGCCGCGTCCCCCTTCCCTGGTGTCTCCACCCCCGCTGTCGCAGTCACTGCCGTCGTCACCGTCGCCGCCGCCGTCGCCGCCGCCGTCGCAGCCGCCGCGGCCTCTGCCGCTCTTGGCCGCTGGGGGTGCTGGCGCAGAGGAGGGTTTTCGTCCTGCGGCTCCTGGCGTGGTCTGTCCTGGCGGGCCTGGGGGTGCCGCTGGGGCTGGAGAGGGTTCTCGCTCTGGGGGTGTTCGTTCTGGGGGTGCTACTATTGAGTGTTCTCCCGGAGGTCGTCGTGCCCCTGCCGGTTCGAGGGTCGAGCCCCAGTCGCCGCCCCAGCCGCAGCACCAGCCGCCGCAGCCGTCGCCGCCGGTCTCCGCTCTTCGCCTGCTCGGCCTTCCCTCCACTGACCGCTCGCCGGTGTCTCCCCACCTCCTCCTCCCCTTCCTCTCTACGGCCCTGTGTTCCCACCCCCGGACTCTTCTCCGGCCCGTCTTCCTCCTCGTTCCCCCCTTGTGTCCCCTCCGCTGTCTCCTGACCCTACACCTCCGTCCCACGTTTGGTCTCGCCGTCCCTCGCGTGCTCGTCCCGTCTCCCTTGTCCCGCGCTCCCACGCTATATTACTCTGTTCTCACTTGTCTCGTCCTCCCCTCCTCCCCTCGCCTCCTCCCTCGTCTCTTGTTGTTGCACCCCCCCCGCTGTCTGACTACCTCCGTGCCGCTCGTCCCCTCGTCCCTCGGGTCCTTGCCTCTCTTGTTACCGACCCGTTTGTTCCTGTCTCTCGCCTTGACGCGCTTGTCGCTGCTGTTGCTGACTTCGCCTCTACCCACCGCCTTGACTACGCTACCGCTCTGGTATCTAACCCTGCCCATCCTCCGTCCGTCGGGGGTGCTCTTGCCCTTGGCAGTGACGTACTAGAGAACAGGCAGTACGAGCTTGCTTTCCTTTCCG